AGGACACAGTCGTAAATTAGAGGGGCAAAGGTTTAAAAATAATATCAGTGAGTATTACTTTACTGAGAGGGTAGTGGATGCATGGAATAGCCTTCTAGATGAAGTGGTAGAGGTTTACACAGTAAAGGAGTTTAAGCAAGTGTGCGATAGGTGTAAGGCTATCCTAGCTATAAGATAAAGACTAATTCAAGTATTTAGAAAATTGGGCAGACTAGATGGGTCAAATGGTTCTTATTTGCCATTACATTCTATGTTTCTATGTTTCTATGTAACCTACATAAAATGCAAACCATAAGATACTTCCATTAAACAGCTACTGTGTGGGAATTAAAGTGAGAAAGTATTTAAGAAATCAGTGATTGAATTTGCTTATTAAAGGTTAAAAAGACGTTATGTGTAATTTACATATTTAAATGTGCATTAGAAATATATTACAAAATATTTTGGGTGTAAAATACCACCAGTAAAGTTTATCTTTCCTCCAAGTCATCTTTGGATTTGTGTACAAAATGTAATATAAATCTAAGTTTATTTGAAGTTAGATCATGTAAAATGTCAATACTGTAGAAATAAGTCCAAATAAAATGTATAAGTGTGAATACAGAAATGCTTGAATCCTTTAATGCTTTTCTGAGTTGTTGCTCATATATAGAAAATTTTATATATTTTTTTACCTCTATCTTTATATCTTTCACTGCTCCAAGCAAACACTTGTGCATGAATATGCTACCCAGAATGTATTAAAATGTTTTTGTTTGTAAAATATTGTATTAACATGTACACTGATCAGCCAAACCATTAAAACTACCTGTCTAATATCTTGTAGGCTCCCCTTATTCTGTCAAAACAGGCAAGGCATGGACCTCTGCTGTCAAGATCTTTGGACATGTCCTGTGGTATCTGGCACCAAGACATTAGCAGCAGATTAAGTCCTGCAAATTGTGATTTTTGGCCTACATGTATTGGAAGTGTTGTTCCAGCAAATCCTGTAATGCTCAATCAGATTGAGATCTGGGAAATTTGGAAGCCAAGGTAACACATTGAATTCTTTGTCATGTTCTTCAAAACATTCCTGAACAATTTTTGCAGTTGGTGTTTTAGCTTGCTGAAAGAGGCCACTGCCATCAACATAGAATGCGACGGCAGATAAGAACCATTCGGCCCATCTAGTCTGCCCAATTTTTAAAAATACTTTAATTAGTCCCTGGCCTTATCTTATAGTTAGGATAGCCTTATGCATATCCCAGGGAACACCATTGTCATGAAGGGATATATGTGGTCGGCAAAAATCTCTAGATAGCAAAAATCTCAAGATAGGTGGTATGTGTCAAAGTAACATCCACTTGAGTGCCAGGATCAAGTTTTCCCAGAAGAACATTGCCTAGAACATAACACTGCCTCCACCAGCTTGCCTGCTTCTCATACTGCATCCTGCTGCCATCTTTTTTCATCTGCCACCTTTCATGCTCATCTTTATGTTTTTCAGTAATCTGAGCTACAGTAGCTCTTTTGTGTGATCAAACCAGACAGGTTAGCCTTCACTTGATCAATGAGCCTTGGGTATCAATGACCCTTAATTTGGTTCACTGGCTGCCCTTCTTTGTAACACTCTTGGTAGATACTAACCACTGCATACTGGGAATACCTCACAAGACTTGTTGTTTTGGAGATGTTCTGATGCAGTCATCTAGGCACCACTATTTGGCCTTTGTCATTTTTCCTGTTTCCAACACATGAAATTCAAGAACTGACTGCTCACATGCTGTCCAAGATATCCCACCCCTTGACAGGTTTAATTGTAAAGATATAATCATTGCTATTCACTTTACCAGTCAGTTGCTTTTTATTAATTAATTTATTTATTTTTCTTTATTTAAAGATTTTTTAAAATGTTTATACAAACAACAAAAAGACAAAAAGTACAAATAATTACAAATACAAGGCAACAAATAATATATATATATATATATATATATATATATATATAGATATTTAAATCATAGAAAGACAAATACATTATAACAAACACCCAAAGACAAAAAAAAAACAGACTGAGCTCACATTAATTTCTAAATTACCTCTGTTATATATAGATAACGATAGTTGCTTTAAGCCTATAGCACAGGGTTATGGTGACCATTGTTTTAAGCTTTTGATTCAACTATCTGTCTATCTTACTTAACTTCCTAGAGAAAATGGTAGTTATCCTACTCCTTATAGGAGGTGCTGTTACAAACGACTGCCAGTTGCATAGAAAGTTGATTTTTGACTTGAATCCAGGTGAGGGCCTCAGTATCTTTCCAATATCTAGCTATTAGAACCTTGACTGCAATACAACATTAAATAATTAGGAATTGAATGGGCCATGCTAAGCAGCTAAAAGAGCTGCTTGCAGTGTTTTAGGTAAATTGGTAACACCCATTTAATCTAGGAAAGCAACCCCTGTCAGTGGTTTTAATGGTGTGGTTGATCAGATTTGTCCTACTTGGTTATATTGCCATTAGGACAAGCTTTTCAGATGTGTCAGGACACTGACATGTTGTAAAACACTCTCTTGCTAAACAAAATTATGATGTGAGCAGAAAACAAAAATATATCTACTACAGCCATAGGAACTCAACCATAACATCATATACTATACGGCATTTATAATAACACCTCTGACAGCCAAATATTCACCTGGAGAAAGTGTTTCTCTTGTACTGAGAAACCATACATATTACTTCAGAAACTCATAGATTTAGAGCAGGGTTAATGTAAAATGAATATGAGATATATCTTCATTATTGAAGTGAACAGGCTTACACTTTCTCCTGAGTGGTTATTTTGCCAAAAGTAGAATTTATTATGCAGATTCTATACTCAATTAAAAAAATATTTTATGTAATGCTATCATTATAAAGCAACCTACTAAATTATTGTATAGTGCTTTGCATAGGTACATAGCACCATTTGTATACTTAAAAAAATACTTTCAAATTGATTAATCTAAAAAAAAAAATCAAACAATAAAACAATTGTACATTTATATCAAAATAATGTTACGGTAGAAATGTTTGTGTTGCATGCTTATTTATCTGATACGCCTTGACACAGTTAATAAAATCTGGTGAAGCCTAATGTCCTCATTAGCTGCATGGTATTTTGAAAGAGATCATGTAAAGAATGACAATTCAAAAGTAGTCAAGCACAATGAAGACTCAATGATCCACAATATTATTTATGTGGGAATAAAAGCCAAACATAAATGAAAGAGCAGAATCAAATTTTACAGGCCAGTTTTTCAACTACACATTTGGTGTTTATCAAATTATTTAGAATTATGATATTTTAGAAGGTGTGTTCTCCCTCAGTGAGTAATCCCTTCACTACAGGACTCATGCACCCAAATCTGTGGACTCATGTATGTACATTTTTTTAATACTACTTATTTTTTTTTTCTTGCAAACAGATTTCGTTCAAAAGAAGTGCCAGTATTAAGGTTCACTCTGGCATAGTAATTAAATGTTCGATTCTACAATGAAAAAAGAAAAAAAAATCTGTACATGGTAGATTGGTACTTTATATTTCACTTTTCGAACTTCTGGTTACCTCTTTGGATATAATTATCCCTTGCACACCAGATTAGCTCATTAACCCCAGTATATGTACAGTCTTTTACAATGGAATAGAATCCTCCCCCCCCCCACACCTTTATTTTTTTATTGTAGAATCGGACATTTAATTACTATGCCAGCGTGAACCTTAACACTGGCACTTTTTTTGAACTTATATATTTTTACTGTTTGACATATTGGGTATGATTTTACCCTCCTGCTAATTTATTTATTAAGTGAACCTTAATACTGGCACTTTTTTTGAACTTATATATATACTTACTGTTTGGGTATGATTTTACCCTCCTGCTAATTGGAAGGATTTTCTATTTATATCCCTGGTGTGGATCATTTTAAATTGCCACAATAAAAGTTATATTTTAAATCTCATTACCAGGGTGTTTCACCACATCTGAGTTGTTTAAAAAAGATTATAGACTATGTGGGGAAGAGGTCTATGTTACATATTTAGAAGTGTAATTTACTTACTTCACTGCTTGCTTACCTGTAACTTCATTATTTAGTCATTTATTTTCTCAAAGTTTGTCTGTCTAACCAAGTTTTTATTTCAAACATCAAATAACGTGACATCTTTGCATACTGAATTGGAAAATGCAAGCGGACATTACTTTCCAGGACACCCAAAATAATCTGATATTCTGGTGATGTTTTTATTTATTTTTTTGCAAACTGCTTGTTATTAGTGGAAGGGTTGATGACAGGTGACAAATCACAAGGCAACTCAGACAAGTGAAGTTTCTAAACTGCCTAAAATACCGAAAATTTATAATTTATGTCTTGAGTATCTGTACATTTTATGCGAACACCTGTAGTGTTCATTAACAACATCAATATAATGTTCAGGGAGAAAAAATATTTTGGTATTTGTATTCCATTATTCCTAACTTTTATTAAGTAGAAATAATATATTTTGTTAAAAGTTAACAAAAATGTAGTCATAATAAACTTAATAGATATAACAAACTGAATTACACATAGATAATGCATGCTTGGGGCGTGGCTTGGGCACCGGACAAGATTGCCGCTTAGGGGAAGAGCTCTGCTCCACCTAATCCCTATACCGCACTAAAACATTAGCGACACACACCAAATGGGCCGCACTCGACGCCCAGAAGCCCCTCAGATGCCGAGGGGTACACAGTAGGGACCCCTGGACGGGTATCTCCAACCGCAGACTAGCGGGAGCGGTGAGGCGGGAAGCCCCAAAATGGCACCGGCATCCCCGTCGGGCTCTGATAACACTGCCCTGGAATGGATAGAGGAAGAACTAAGGAGCCTCACCGCATCCATGGTCACTAAAGCTGACCTCCACATCCTCACAACCACCATACAGGAGACACTGAGAGCAGAAATGTATAAGATCGGAGGTAATAGCTCATCCAGATGCTAGAGCAGACTACTGAGGCCCATACCAACAAGCTCACTGCAACAGACATGGCAGTAGCCCGCCAAGGGGAAGTTTTACTGGCGATGCGCAGACACATGGAAGACCTGGACAATAGGGGGCGATGCTGCAATATAAGGACCCGCGGAGTACCCGAAAGTGAAGGGGAAGAAAATGCAGAGGAAATCCTCACAGAACTGTTCCAAACACTGCTCCCAGTGACTCCCCCCCAACGCTTCAAATTTGAGAGAGCGCACAGGGCATTAAGACCTAGATCGCTAGAGGATGGCCCGAGAGACTTGGTGTGCTGCCTGCACTCTTTTCCGGTGAAGGACTCCATCATAAGAAAGGCCCGCGAGAGACCTACATGGCCCTACAGAGGAACGCAAGTCTCCTTCTACAATGACCTCTCCCCCATTACCTTAGAGGCTCGCCGGGCACCAGTAACAGCGGCACTACGCGACCACAATATCTTCCACAAGTGGGGGGTTCCGTTTGCCCTGCTCGCACGCCACCAAAACCGATGAGTTCCACTAAGGTGGCCGGAAGAGGTCCCTCGCTTTATAGAGGAATTGGAGCTACCGCCTGTAACGGTAGTCAACTGGATCCTTGGGCTCGTGGGACCCCCACCGAGACCCCAGAGAACACCCAGACGCAACACACGATCGCCACCAGGACATGCTCCTCAGAGACGCCGGCACCCGGCAGCCCCGGAGGAATAAGTGAGTAGTTTAAGACACATAGGGCACCTCCATGCCGCTCACGCACCCAGGTACTCTAAATGGCTCCATCACCTGCCTCTCACATAGGCCACCCGGGAATGTTTTGACACTAGTGCACTGGTAATTTGGATATATTGCCCCGATCGCCCCCCCGACGTCATAAGTTGACATCAGACCTGGATCACTGGGGCCCCTGAACACTTGGGGTGGGTTCATTGGCGGGTCTTGGGGAGGTGGGAAAAGGGATCTGCAGCCGGGTATGGGACCTCTTGCCAACTCTATACCCCCAAAACTCAAAGCCCTGGAGAGGGAAGACTCCCCTCGGACGACCGCACACGAGCCTCTGATATTGGGGGGGGGGGAACGGGGTGGGACGGGTCCAGACGCACTGCAGCACCACGTGTGGAGCGGACTGGGAATCCGGACGATGCACAGGGTTTTGGCCTGCATATGCAACATCAATCCCCGAATACTCTCTGCACGCTTTGGGACTCTTGGCCACTATTCACGGGAAGAGTGGGGAGGACCCGGCGGCCTCCATTTTGCCTCCCTCACCTTGTGGGGAGGCTCCCTGTGGATGTCAGGGCCCGTCCCCCACCACCCCACACGGATTGACTTCAGATTATGCTATACGCCTATATTGTGTCACAACATGTTAGCATACCTACGATCATCACCACATAATTCTAGCACTCGAACACCACAGGTGGAATTCTAATACAGCAGGGCATAGGACACCCAGGGGGGAAGAGAGGGGATGGGGGGACCCATGCTTGGCTTGTGGGATAACGGGGGGAGGTGGATAACAACACCTGTGATAGAGGGGACGAGAGATAAGCCCACGACACCCTAACAGACAACCGACCCCGACATTAGGACACCTCACTGAGCACTGGGAGAGAGGGACCATGGGCAGGGCGAGGTGGGGGGTGGGTTCCCCTGACATCCGTCACCGTCCCATGGCACAAGTAGGTGGGGCAGATGGATGGGGATCGGGGGGAAGATTAGGGGCACTGGGTACCAGGGTTATCTCTACCTCTGACAAGGTCATAGACTTAGCAACGACAGGCCCCCTCCCACATCAGGTGGGCCTTCTGCTATGCCCAAAGTGTCAGCCCTACCCGAACTTGATACCACTAGCCACAACTCGGACTCATGCTACTATAGGGCATGAAGACTACGCTTTAAGACTAGCTCCATGCAGGGAGGACCTTGGGGACCGGGGTCTGGGAGAACGAGACATCAGAGCACACAGGGGATGACCAAGGGGGGGGTGAGGGTCCACGTCTCAGCGGAAGACACCCACACACATAGGGCGGGGTTGGCCAGGGAGGGGGAGATGGAAAACCGGAGACAAGAGGGCATACGTTGCAACTTGGATGTGGGGAGCGGGGGGGGCACAGGGGAATGTTGAGTTTAATGTTGTTACTAAGTTCATAATGGCTGAATAACTGCACTCAAGTTTGAATGGAAAGACAAAAGTTGTGTTTCATGTTATGCAGATAGAAGGGACAGGTGGGGCTGGTTTCCGGGGCGACACCCCGCCGTGCCCAGCCACTGCTCGAGTACCCTCTAGACAGGAAGGAATAGACACGGGATCGACGCATTCCCAACAAGGACCCTGCTTATAACTACACACCTTTCACACTCACACACCTCCACACATCACTCCCAACCACCTTTCCCTACGCACTTACGCATTCTCCCCTGACCCTGCCCCCACCCCTCCCTCACCTTCCTATCCCCCCCACCCTATCCCTGGTCCATGCTGGGGGCGCGGACTTGCTCGCCGCGGGGACGGGGGCTTCTCGTGCCCGAACTCACAGCATTGTTGTACGAGTACCAGTCACCAACCAAGAGAGATGGCATACCGCAGTGCACCGATATCGATACTCACCCTCAACTGTAGGGGCAGTAACCAGGGAACAAATCGAACGGGCCCTGGACCTCTACTTCAGTGAAAATGACAAGGAAGGAACATCCCCCATAACATTGTGGGAAGCTCACAAGAGCGTAATTTGCAGTACGCTCATCCGGATAGCGTCTCAGAAAAAAAAAAGTGGCCACCAAAGAAATGGCAAAACTTTATGAGACCATCTCAACTTTAGAGTCACAACATAAAAGGCATCACCTCAACGCATTTTATGGTGAGTTCATGGAGGCCAGACGAGCATTGAGAGACCTTATAGAGCACAAGGGGCTTCTTCTATGCCCATGCTAACAAGGGGGGTAAGTACCAAGCCCGACTCCTGAAGGGCATTAGTCCACGAACACAATTCCGCATCTTACGCCTTACATCGGGCGTGATCTCCCCCTTCCCTCAGGAGATAGCAGATGAATTTAAACACTTCTACCAATCCCTGTACAACCTTCCACCACCTGGGGGGCAGGAACGAAGGCAGCACAACCAAACCCTGCAGACCGAATACCTAAACACCACCATCACAGAGGTAATCAATTCCAACTCAGCTGCGGCCCTGGACGCACCCATTAGCACAGAGGAGCTAGCCTTCACCCTGAAGAGTGCTAAAACGGCAAAGCTCCGGGACCAGATGGCTTCTCCACTGGTTACTATAAAGAATTCACCGAGAGACTCCTACCATGGCTCATGAAGGCCCTCAACGCAGTGGCGGAGGGGGGTAGACTCAGACCAGAATCCCTGTCCGCAACAATAACCATTATGCTAAAACCTGGGAAGGACCCACAATGCTGTGGTAGCTATCGACCGATATCCCTCATAAATGTTGAAACCAAACTGCTTACGAAGGTGCTCGCAACACGACTCCAACCCTACCTCCCGAACCTGATTCATGCGGATCAAACGGGCTTCATCCCCAGGCATGAAGCGCGAGACAGCACCCTACGACTCTTCTCCATCCAACATCTGGCGAGGAAGAGAGGGGAACACCTTCTGCTGCTATGGACGGACGCGGAGAAGGCATTCGATTGGGTCAATTGGCAGTATATGATGGCCACGCTGGAGGTGATGGGCCTAGGACAAACCCTTCGGACGTGGATATCGGCCTTATATAGCACACCATGAGCTTCCGTGAGGGTCAACGGAGCCCAGCCAGAGCCTTATGCAATCCAATTAAAAGGTTCCTATACGGAAGCCTCTGACAGGGCCATTTCACCAGCTCAGAGCACACGTGCACAATCTGAGTCAGAGAGGTGAGGGGAAGAGTGTGTGAGTGGGAGAGAGAGTGGATGGGTATTTAAAAAAAAAAAAAAAAAGCCCAAACACTGGTAAAGGGAGAAGGGGAGACAAAAATTTTATCTTGCAGGCAGGGAGAAGATCAATACATCTGGTGCTAGTGAAATGTGCACACAGATGACAGGCATAAAATATAAATAGAATTTAGTTTCAGGCTGTCTAAGTCACATGTGCCAGGGGTGTAACTATCTCAGTTTACAAAGTTAATATATATTTTCAAGCAGAAATGCTGCACATATACACAGACATCTAGTAGACTTCTTGGAGTAACCCTTTAAATAATTGGAGATGTCATTCCTCTCACAATGTTAGAGGGGACTCATGACTAACAATAGTAGAGTGCTTAATCAGACATGAAACTCTTAAGGACTTTACTTGAGGCCCTAGTCAAGGTCAGCACCCTAGTAATACCTCAAATTTAGAACCTTCACCCTCACACTTAATGAGGAAAAATATCAAAAGTGTAAAAACAGTCTCTGAATTTCTGAAGTCCCCAAGCAGGGCAAATCAATATAAACCTGAGGCAGAGCAGAGGTGGAGCAAAGTAGCAAAGTCAGATAGCCCTAGGGTGGATGTTACAAGAAGAATAACACCTACAAACCTCAAAGATGGTAGCGCTGGAACAGAGAAGACATGATAAAATCTCTATATTTTAGATTTGGTGATAAATGATGTATTAATTTTATATGAGAGCAATTTAAGGTTGTTTTTTTAATTATAATAATTTATATATAATTCACTTTTTAATACTATCAATATACTTTTTGAATTATATATAAAAGATTGCTTTAGCATAAAACAATAGCGTTGAATTTGTCTAGAAAAAAACAAAACACTATATTAAGTGTTTTTTATTATTATTCTTAATAAAAATAATTCTTAATAACAAATTATTTTCCTCATTCATTCTGTTCATGAAAGCAGAGTGGTCAAGGACCCTTTTGGGAATGATTTGGGAAGTTTTCCTAATATGATTCTTTTGGGCTATTTTCAAACATGTATCATGGTGGTAAGTACACTAATAAACACCCTTACATATTAATATATATATATATATATATATATATATATATATATATATATATATATATATATATATATATATATATATATATATATATATATATATATATTAAGGTCTGCTAATCAAAAGAATACAATCCTAATATTTGCTTTTGGATTTGTTATTAATTTTTCATATGGTTGTGATTACTTGATTCAAAATAAATTACGGCGCACACATAAAAACCCACAAATAATCTTAAAAGGCTACTTCATTTGCCTATCTAAGAAGACAAAATATGGTGATTCAGTTCCACCATATGGCCGTATTGTGTTAAGCCCACCACTACGTCACAGTACCCCAATATAGGTGAGTCCTACACTAAATCCAAATCCTAAATTGTATTAAATGAATTAATGTGATAAAAGCAATTAAAAACAGTCAAAACTATCCAAAAACTCCTCACATATACACACCTGCCGCTGGGGGCTGTGGGCTTAGGCGGGTTGCTTAACCCCAAAGGGAATCTGGTCTGGATTCCAAACTTGCATAGCAAAGAAAAAAATGATTGGGGGAACTTCTTAGATA